CCCCGGTTAGTGATTTGCCAATCGACTAACAACCAGGTTTCTATTTACTGCTAGATAAATTGAGCCATTTGGAGTAAGGAAACTTACCTAATGTTTCGACCTGCCCAGGAATCGAACCTGGAGCTTCTATCTTGCGAGGGGAGTGCTCTAACCAATATGCTACAGGACACCCAGGTTTAGTTTCCTCAAGCGTATTCCTTTCAGCAAGGGTTATTTTTCCTATTTATTTCATACATTGGGCACCAGCTTTGCTTAGTGGGCAGCAATTTCACCTCCGAGTCAACAGGTTGTGGATTCAGGCCTCATACCGGATCTTGAGCTCATAGTCTAGACAGACATTCAAGAGCAGCACTGAGAGAGCACATGTGGATGAAATGTTAAACCAAGGTCCCATTTCCCTGTTTGGATAGATATTAAAGAGCCCATGCCACTATTCAAAAAGGGAAGGGAATTCCTCCTGCTCAACAATCCTCCAGATAAATTGGTTATTCACTTCAAGGATGTTTGTGGGACATTGCTACATGCAAATTGGGTGCCACAAATTCATAGGCGCCATATTTGACAGCAATTGCACATAAAGTGCTTTAAGACATTTCAACATTGTAAGTACTAGATCAAATGCAAGAATAATTATTATTTGATTTACCCTAGTGTTAAATTTAGCAACATAGCAGCACTCCGAAAACAAGTCATTTCAGAAAGGGTGGAAATCAGAGGTAAAAATTGTATCCTCTGATGTGTTAATTACCACTGGTGTTTTGGAAGAGATATTCTGAATTGTTCTTTTAAAAAATATATAACATTGCAATATCAGGTACAGTATACCTCTATAGAATAAGTTCTGACTAATAACCTTCAATAGCTAGAATGGAAAAGTAACCAATTGAGCAGGATCACTCATCTACACTACACTGTAACTGTTCTGTACAAAATATATTCCATTATTCCTTGTAATCCATCTGGCCATTATGTGTAGGATATTACAGATATTAGACTACACAATGTCAAAATCATTTTAGCTTCAGGCTGAATGGGTTGGAGAATGCAAAGAAAGAATTCATGAAAATGTGACAATCAATATGCAGAAGAGAAGCCTTCACTCAACAAAGGTTATGAATATATTGTGATAATATTAATAATTACAGCACTAGCCAGGTTTCTCCCCATGGTTTCATCAGGTGGAGCTCAAGATGATTCACATTAAGAGTAGGGGCTTCTCTTAAGGGAACTAAGAGCTAACATAGTAAGCCTGGCGTGGCGTTCAGATTATGAATCAGTCTGGAACAGAGAACATGGTAATGACTAGACAAGGGGTAGGGAGCTCAGAGACTCAAGGCAGAGTGAGATATCTCGTAGTTTGGTGTAGCATGCAGTAAGAGAATTGCTCAGACGCTGTCTGTCCGTAGTCTGTGTGTATAACTTCTCTCACAGCAGGTTTGTGATAATTTATACACCCTGAACATTTGGCCTAAAATTCAATATGGACCTGATTTGCAACAGCCAAATACCACATTTACACACAGAAGTGAGATCTTCCAGCTGCCTTCAAGGCAGATGTGTAAACATGGCTGGACAGGAATCTTTAGCAGCAATACAGTGAAAACTAGTCAAATAAAATATTCCACAAAGAAAATGAATGCTCCTCAGCTTCAGAATACCAGAATAGTGATCATTCTTTTGGGTTATGTGAATAAACGGGATAGGTTTGCTGAACTACAGAGCACGTACTCCACACTCAGAGTAGGTGACCAGGTGGAAAAAAACATGAGACTTAAATGCACCAAATGGCTTGTTTCGGTATTGTAACATTTGATGAAGCAATACTTGCAGTATTAAAAAATGCCCACAAATGGATTACTAATTCCTTAATTGACATCACCCTTACTTGAAAACTTACTTGCACTCACTGCATTGTTCTATACCTCAGATTTCCTTGCAGCCCACTTCCCCAGTCTGTCTATCTGTTTGCTGGTAAAGTTAGGAAACTGACTTTGAGGTTAAATTCCTAATGTAGAGCAGGAACATAAATTGTAATTCCACACATGATGCTATAACGCAGGGAATTCTCTGAGCAGTCAACTGACCGAGAGAGACTGAGAGGCTATAGAGAAATCTAAGGCCTGGGGCAATGCGGTGAGAAAGGTCAGTGCTTAATGATGGCATTAATTAAGGAACAAATAACAATTTTGCTGGGCTTTCCACATTTTAATACAATTTACATCTTTCACATCAAAAGGATGTCTCAAAGGCCTTAACAATAGCAGTCTTAACACTAGTAGTGCTACAGCTTGGGCACCCAACCTGAAGAGAATGGGGAGAAAGATGACCAAAAGCACGGTCAAAAAGATAAGTCTTGAGATGGAACTTGAACAAAGCTAGGAAGGGAGGGAGTTGGAGGAAGTCCCAGAGAACAGTGATGCAATACCAGGAGCCCCGCCGGTCCATGATGGGGTAGATAGGCCCAGGGACATGAAGCAAGCTGATGTTCACTGAACAGAAGAGAGTGACTGGGTGGGTCAGTGCATCTGAAGGAAGTAGTGGAGAACGATTAAGGCAAGACAGTGGAGGGATTTGAAAGTGAGAATTAGGATCTTGAATTTGAACCACTTGGAGACGGGGAGCCAATGGAGCTGAGCAGGAACAGGGATCACATGGAGCTGAGCAGGAATAGGGATCACACACTTGTAGAGCCTGGTGCAGGAGAGGGCACAGTCTGGATAGCCCTGACACTAAGAAAGAACTGGAGTAATAAGCACAAGGGACACTTCTACAAGTACCAGTGTTACCAGAATCACTCCAGCACTAATTGGGGCATTCAAGCGCAGTGCAGATGAACTATCATTTAAAAGGTCCCTTATAAGATCTTTAGTTGTCCCTCAAAACCGCACTTATGTAGAGATTCTGGAAATAACTTCACATGTAATCATTCAATTCAAAGCAATTTTTTGATAAAAATCTAATATTTCCAACAAAAAAATTAGCTGGTTATATTTATTTTCTTAAGTTTTAAAATGAAAAGAAATTCAAATCAATAAATGTGCTTTTGGGTTCTTGCTCTTTTGGGTTTGGGAAAAGCAAATTCCAAAAAGAAATCTTTTATGAAATGCATTCCCCAATCCCAAATGTATGTAAATGAGTGAAGTGTTTGTGCTAATACAACAGCAACCTCTAGTGGTAAATGTTAGCTAACATATTGATGAACGCAGACTGGAATACTCCCAAAATACCTGTGCAGCTATTTGGAAATCCAGTCTACTTTTGAAGCTTTCTTTCAAGACCATCTGTAGCATTAGCTGGAGACAGCATAGATTCTGCCAGTTTCTTCAACGCCAGAGATTTTTTCGAAATGATGGTAATTGTTTGTTTTGGTCAGTCTCACATCTGAAGCATTCAGAAACCCATCACCATGCTTAAGAGTATCCAAACCAGACAGAATTCCACAAAGGTATGCCAGCTACACATGTGGAATGGAAATGTTTACTCTCTCTTATCTATTTCTGGAGAGTATTAGCCACAGGTTGGTAAGAACAAAGCTTGGGGACCCCAGTGTGTGTACTAGGGTACAAAAGATGTGAGATATTACGATTTGTAAAATTGTAGCTGTCAGAATAGAATTTATATACCTTTTCAATTTCTGCAACATTAATTTTTTTTTTGCAGATTTAACCCCCAGATATTAAAATGAGCAGACAATAAGCTTGTAGGATATAAACTGGTTTAATAGCATCAAAAAGGTGCATAAATAGAGGCATAAAAATCATTGAAAACTGCAAACTAAAGATATGTATATTTAACAAACCATCAGATGAATGATTTGAAATTACATGGTTTGACTGAAAGTTGATGATATAAAATCCATCTGATTCCTTGGCGTACTTTCACAATAACTGCGAATCAAATAACTATGTAAGGAGAGACTTTATTTAAAATTTTCAGATGCAAAGATGTACATGTACACAAAACAGTGTTATTTGTAAGAATAAGTTCAGTGCTTCCTGAATCAGAACATTCCATAGAAAATTCTACTTGCCTAATAAAGAAACACATTGTATCTCATTTATATTTTTTCACATAAAGTGTAGTTACACAAAACCTTCATATGCAACACTTCATACTTTACCACTCTTCAAACTAAATTCATCTTTTTGATCCATTCCCTCAATCAGTACCCTAATACTATTAAGGGAGGTAGTTCTAAAATTATAAATTTATGGCCAAAATTATAAATCAAGTCCTGGAGGACAATATAGAATACACTTGGATGCCCCAATCACCTGAGCATTAAATTGAGAGCTTGCTCTATAAATCACTACACTACATTCTTGACCTTAGCAAGCTAGTACTGAATGGAAGACACTTTTCCCAAAGAGGATACTGAAAAAAGACAAAGCAACACTGGCAAAGATTTAGGAATAACCTTTCCACCTGCTATTTTGCTCAGAATATGTTTGGGTGTATAGAGGGCAAAAAACAGGTGAAATCCCAAGGTTTACTTTGTTTCTGGAATTGGAGAAAAATAAAGTCTTTACTATTATTATAGAAAAGTGTAAACTAAACGCATTGAATCTGGTGCTACCAAATTATTTCCACAGTGGTAATAAGCATCCACAATTAGTTTTCTTTAATACTTAAAATATATAGGAATATGAAACAGCAAATAGAATGATTAGATAACTTGTGTTTGAATGGTACAACATATGGCTGCAGGTTAGCATTACTGCTGACTATGCATCAAAAATGCTATCTCTATAAAATACAAGGATAGCTGCAATGGTTGTAATGCAATGGATTTATTATATAATCTATCAAAAAAATTCCTTACCGATAAGCTAGGTTAACATTATTGTCCAAAATGTCACATTAAATGTAAATAATTAACCATCATGTAATAAAATAATACAATGATCAATTTTTTCTATTGGAACTCAATCTATTCAAAACAATACTAATAAAAACAAAACTATGTACTAGTAGTTAACATGTGCTCTTTTTCTTTTCACTTTTCTTTCTATTTAAATTTTCTTGGGCTTGTTAGAGATCTTATATGTACTTAAAATTGCAAACCTAATTCTCATAATTTCAATAGCTGAATTTAACATATGCAGCACATTAATTACTTAAACATCAGTGAAATTGTTGAGCTTGCAAATGTTTAGGCAAAGTTGCAAATTTTGGAAAAACATGTAGTGTAACTTTGCTGTCATTAGACAACAGCATTTAATAGTATGCTATTCACTTCCAGCAATTTAAGTTGGCGCCTCAAAAGCTTTGCTTAAACTGAAAACTTTTCCTTGAAGTGCAAAATGTGCACACAGTTTATGGCTAAGAACACTACCTTGATTGTGCATGCTCAAGTATACTTGAATTCTAATCACTTCTTTCCTCTCAAGACTGGTAAACTTGGCATCCTGCCACTTTGATTCAAGGTCGTAAAACCTTAAGAGGAAACCCAATGAAAACAAACCACAATACAAAAAGGTACAGGTTAATAAAATCTATAATATTTCATAATTTGTCGTAATGTTTAAGGCACAGTAAGAAAAACAAAGAATATTATAAGATATAAAATTAGAATCAAATTAAATATAACATTTCCCTGAAGGGCACATTTTTGAATATTAGGCAAAACAAGTCCTGTAACAAGGATCAGAATCCTAATCCTGGTAGACTAAATATATGGCTTATGTTACAGCTATGCCGGTACTGTATTTAGCACCAATTAGGCGATCTGTATGTAGATTACCATGGTCTTCGTCCATTTAAGCAAAAGAAAAGTGACAGGCATGTGAGGAGAAATCAAGAAGGGGTGGCACAGATCTAGCTGTTCAGCAGATTAGAATTTATACATGATGCTCTTGAAAAGGCTCTTTCATAAGGAAGCTGAAATTAAATTTAAAATGTAACATTAGTGTCCAGTAATTTTAAACACAAACCACTATGTATAATCAATAATTCAATTAAACTATTCAACCCAATGTAAAGATCCAATACCACAATTAGTCTAAACAATGAACAACCACTGTGTTGTGATTGCACTATTTGCAGACACCTATAAATACTGTACATACACTTCAATCCTGGAAGCGCTTTGAGAAATGTGCTATATCAAATGCAAGGATTGCTGTTGTTTCTATCTCTCTTAATGCCATCAATTCAGCCATTTTGAGTTCAGATCGCTTATTGTTTTCCAGAATAGGTAACTATTTTCAGTTATAAACATTAGATTTTTCCACACAGATTCACATTAGATGGAGCAGAGAAGGCAGAAACAAACGATCACTATTGTAAAAAAATGTTTTTAAGAAAAGGCCCAATTTTGCAAAAAGGAATATGCTATTATATTTCTAGTAACATTCTAACATAATAGGAATGATATTGATCATCCCCCTAATTAATTTCTTCAAAGGGTCCAAGGTACTGGTGAAAAGGGAAAATATCAAAGAAAAAAAAGTGAAGTGTCATTCTATCCACAGGCTTTTTATAGGAGTGCACTTAGAGCAACTATACAGAATTGAAATAGAAGCAGCCGTTCTTACAATTCAGTGAAATGAAGCAGTAAATCTGGCTATTTCCCAATACAGCAGCTGAGGAATACAAATGTAGTGACATGAAGTAATGACAATATTCACTCAATAGTGAACAGCTTTTGGAGCTGAGGCAGCTCTGGGAAGTTGACACATGCTTGGTTGGGAGGATTTTCAAAATGGCAGCCAATCATCTCTGGAGAAAGATGCGAGGCAGCTCACTTATACATGATGCTCTTGAAAAGGCTCTTTCATAAGGATGAAATTAAATTTAAAATTACTGGGCACTAATGTTACTTTTTTTAAGCACAAACCACTTTGTATAATTAATAGCTCAATTAAACTATTCAACCCAATGTAAAGATCGAACACTATAATTAGTCCAAACAATGAACAAGCACTGTGCTGTGATTGCACCATTTGTGGACGCCTATAATTCCTGTATATACACTTCAATCCTGGAAGCGCTTGAGAATCCTCCCAACGTGAAACGTGCTTTCCATAAAATGCAAAGACCTCACGGCATTGACCTTTGGAATTTTCTTAAAAAGGAGTGTCATGTCTCCCAACTCCTAGGTCAGATTAGAAATCCAGAGAACAGAGAAACTGGATACAAATTCTGCATACTACCATGGCACACTAATCATTGTGATACTTAAACCGTTTCCTCAATTAAAATGCTAGTTACCAAACCATTTACACAGGATCAAAAAAATTTAATTCCTCTATACTTTTATTAATAAAAGAAGGTTTAATGCCCTTTAAATTTCCATCCGTCGCACATTTCACAATTTCAGCTGAACTTCTACTGTGTTCACACAGTTCAGAAGGTACAGGATCTAATAGGCAGTTTAGCATACTTACCATATAAAAAGAGGTACAAGCACTGTGCAGCAAACCAGAAAATTAATAACTGAAAGGCAAACATTAAAAAAAAATTAACATTTGGAATATATTGCAAAAGTCATTTTAAAAAGCATAATCTTCCCAAACCATGTAAGAAGATCAAGAGGATACATTCAGTAAAATAAAACAAGATTCAGATCCAATGGTGCACCAATAGCCTCTGCAATTTTCATAAATCTGATTTAATTAATAATCTACACAGCTCATATACAAGACAATGCAGCCATGCGGTACTTTGTCACTGCAGTGGACATGCGGTGATGGTCAAGACTACTTTTCCCACGATTCAATGTAGCCGGACAAATGATAAATGCGCTTTCGGCAATTCCGGTAATTCAATGCAGCCGGTAAGTGTGGGAGTAATGGAGGATAGGGGAGTTAGGAGGCGATTAATACGAATAGTGCAAAATAATCTAAGTGGTTTTGATAGGAAACTGAATTGGACTCGGATTAATGTACAACTTAACCAATTATATGATTTATAAAGAAAACTTAAGTGAGTTTTTCTGTATAACCTGGAAGTAAAATATCTTTGTTCTTCAGCACTACATCTTCCGAGAAGTAGAATACAGCAATAGAAATAAGCGATAGGACACAGAAAATAAGTGCATTTATAAGCGCATATGTCAAAACATAAATTTATACTGTACGTAACTTAAACAAGCTCTAACAAATAAACTGACAATCGTGGGGGACAGGGCCTTTGTGTCACACAGAGTTCTGTGCAGATGCAACGTGGGTTGGTGTAGGTCCTCCCAGGCGCAGCACCCATTAGCAGCCTAGAGGATTCATGTCAACATAGTTACCCTGGATAGTTCTGAGCAATTTTCCCTTGGTGTGATGATATATCAGGAGTTTACTGTATTTGGTTTCAAAAGAAGGATGTATTAAAAACCAGTTTGATTTGGTTCACATTAATTGCACTTACTTTTTGCGATCTTTATCTTTCTTGAGACTTGTTTGGGATGAAGACTGAGATTGAAGTAATTCAGTGGCAGCCCTCCTCTTGGTAAATACAATTATCTCTTCATCCAAGAAGTTCTTTTTCTCATCCAATTTCCTTCTCTCTTCCTGGTGCATTCTCTTTAGATGTTCAAATCTATCTTGCAGCTGTTAAGATATTAAAAAAAGGTCATAATTGAAACTCCACAAGATGGCAGCAAATCTCAAATGATTCTCAGTTCACATCCTTGCTCAAATTTTAACCGGAGCCTTCAGGGCAGGTTTCATAAAGCATTTCCTTTTAATTTCCTACATAATAGGCACAGAGAGAATTGTTTAAAAAAATCAAAAGATCTCTGTGAGACTAAAATGATTTAAAAATTTGTACAGGCTGACCGAAAAGTTGTGATAGCATAAGTCGTGGTAAATACCCTATTATCTAAAATAAATCATTTTTACGAGAGATCTTTTGAATTTTTTCTAAACAATTCTCTTTGTACCCATTATGTAAGGAATCAAAAAAGATAGTACGTTTTAGAATGGAAGTTTTTAAAACCGCATGAATTGTAAGTTCTAGGGTGTTATTGAGCATTCATCAGATGCTCATAGCCTGTTTCACCCTTTTGCAGCAATAAAAAAAAATCTTTCCCTTCTAGATGCTGACTGACAATCATTTTAATGGTTTACATTAACAGATGAACACAAGTAAAATCAAAAGAAGTTCTATTGTTGCTGCATGAGGAGTTTGGAATAATCTCTCATTTGGAATACAAGCAATTTTGATCATGATCAGTTTTGAGCAACCTTAAATATTGTAAAATCAAGCAAATATTTTAGTACTATACCTCTTTCTCTGCTTCTTTCAGCTGAGACTCCTTCTCCTTGACCCGCATCACAAACATTTGTCTCATTTCCTCTTCTTTCCTCTGTAGCTCAGTAAGAAACTCATTTCGCTTTGCTTCATACGTTTCCTGAAGGCTGAGGGGGAGGGAGATTAGTATAATAGATTTATTTTTGTGCACAACCTAGAAGACAAATTAATAGAAATGCACTGATGTGTCCTTGTCACACTGAATATCAATTTGTTATGTCCAAGTCAGAGGTTTGTCATCTTCATGCATGCCTTCCAATCTTGATTTGCTATGGACCACGTGCCTAATACATACTCTGAACTTTTAAACACCACATCAATCAATATCAAAGACTGTTGACCTTCTTCCTCTTCTTCCAAGAGGGACAGTTTATGCTTATACATTAATAATCCTTGCAACAATTACCCAGATAAAACGGTCATTCACAACATGGCCGTTGGTGGGATATTGCTGTGCATAGTTTATACCTTTGGGAAAACATCTCAAAGCACTTCATAGGATTGATTATAAATACAGAAGTTGCTGGGCACACGCAGCAAGTCAGGTAGCATCCATGGAGAGAAGAAAATGAGTTAACTTTTCAGGTTTATGACCTTTCGTCAGAACAGGATTGATTTCCTGCAAAGCGTAGGCAAATGCAATATCCACCTGCGCATAGCAACATCCCACAACAACAACTTGCATTCATATAGTGCCTTTCACTTTGGGAGGATGTTCCAAGGTGATGGACAGTCAAGGGTTTGCACTTGAGCTGGGATGGAGGTCAGAGGATGACTGGAGGCACGGTCAAAGAACAGAAACATCCATAAAATGAACCATCCTTTTTTTTCTTGGGAAATTGTCGGCCAGTACACGGGAAGAAATTCCCTTCTCTTCGAAGAGTGACACAAGATCTTTAATGTCCATGTGAGCAGGGAAACTAGATCTCAGTTTAATGGTCTCATCCGAACAATGGCAAAAATACAGCACACCTCGCCCTGAATTGGAGCATCAGCCTAGGCTATGAGTTTAAAGTGGATTGATGTGGACCTTGAATCCACAATTTCCTGACTCGTAATTGAGCAGTGCTACCAACTGAGCCAGACTAACACACAGGCTGAAGGGATTGCAGAAGGAAGAATTATTAGTATTATTATATTCTTGAGTCACTCACCAGTATACAGTGCAGTGAAATACAATGCAATTGATTTAATATTCTCCTCAGATATTCTGAGTGAACGAGTATTAACCCAATTCCTCTACTCTAGACTAAAGGGCAAAAAGGTCAAAGCAAAGAACGCACACCGACAGGTCTGCATAGAGCCTATGTAAATATTAGCTGATGCAGTAATATTCATTTAAACCCATCTCAACAATTAAGTTAAAAATGCCACAGTATTTCAGTATAATTCAATTACAGATGAGTTGTGAAAGCAGTACATGAGTCTTCTAATGAGTATATTTACTTAAACATCCAAATAAGGTTAATGGTCATTATACTGAAAATGTTAGTTTTAGTTAAGTAGCTTTACTGATTGAATAATATCAAACAATGTTTAAGTGGATTAGTTACAGAATGTTGAATAGTGTTAATGTAAACTGATTGGTTGCTTCAAATGTAAATAGAACTGAACTTTGATCCATTTTGTTCAGTATATGAACAATGAATATTGGAAATTGGTTTGCAAAAAGTGACCTTCCTCCTGAAAGAGCTTTAGGATTCCGTGGCAAGTCAAGTAGAACATTAAAAAATATTACATCATAACATACTAATGCAAAACTACAATAGTTAATTTTTTAGAAAAGAGCAAATTATTCTTTTAAGTAGTTCAGATTAATTTCCAAATAGTCATCTAAATTAATAACAATCTTGAAATGGAGCAGGATCAAGTATTTTGTGTGCGGTTTTAAGCCTCATCTTAGTAGGTTTGTAGAACTGCAAACTGAAGTTCTTCCGCATGAGGAGCATAAAATAGTTAAACCAGATCATTTCTGATATCAAGTGAAATATTTCTCATGAAATAGGTGTAAGACAGAGTCTCAAGCAACAAGTGTATTAAGTCCTTCTCAAGGTAAAAATGCCTGGAATGTAAATTCCTCACACACAGTTGAGTAAACAGTTAGGATAGTTGATGCATTGTAGAAAGTTTACAGGAAAAACAGGAATTCCCCAACAGCTCGACTCCTGCATTCCTTAGCAGGCTTGAATACACCTGGATGCAGCTCTGATTCATGAATATAGTTCTAATAAGCAGTAACCAGATTAGAAGCAAACCTTTCCAATCCCACAAATAATTTTCTTAGTCAGTATCAGCCATTTAAATGTTTAATACAATCTTGGTGTCGTCTTTTAGTCAGTCAAGTGGACTGGTATGGGGAAATATTATTTACAAGCCTGTTTGATGTCTACTAAGTTATTTGGGAAAAAAGAGAAAGTAACAACAAAATTACATTTGTATAGTGCCTTTCACGTGGTGAGGATGTCCCAAGGTGCTGGACAGACAGTTTCAGATCCGAGCTGGGAGTCGGGGAAGGTGGAGGGCAGGGGTGAGGGAAAGCAGGGAGATCAAAAACACGGTCGGAGAAGGGTCTTGAGGTGGGTCTTGAAGGAGGCAAGGGAGGGAGCGAGTCGGAGGGACTGCGGGATGGAGTTCCAGAGGGTGGGGGCAGAGTGGCTGAAGGCCCACGCACCAACAGTGGGGTGAGCGAGGCAGGGGACGTGAAGCAGGCCAGAGCCCGTTAAGTGGAGGGAGCGAGCAGGATGGTAGGGGGTTAGGAAGTCGCAGAGGTAGGGGGGAGGCAAGACCATGAAGGGCTTTGAAGGTGAGCACCAGGTATCAGGAAAGTAAGTAAAACAACGTTCGAAACTTTCAGATTTGTGCATTCAATATGGTTTGGAAGAAACAATAAAAATTATTGGGACTTGGTTATGCAGTGGACCTTAATAAGCAGACTTCTATGTGCTAAGGTGAAGTCTGTTCAAGTTAGTTTCTGGGAGTAAACCAAAACAAGGTTTCCAGATGAATTAACTGTCAGTTGGTGCCTGCAAAATGGGTTGGATCAATACCTGCTGAAAAAGATTGATGGTAATAAAAGTAGCAGCTCTGTTCTTTTACAATGGGTTAGGACAAAAATGTAGGAATTTGGAATATCTTTATTTTTTTCTCTCTTACCTAACAGGCTTATTATTTGGATCTGTGTCTCTGAATCCCATTTCCTCCAACTTGCAGCGACGATACAACTCATAATGTCGGGTGTGAGTTTGTTCTCTCAAGTCTTCCATGTTCACACAAATAAGCATCTCTCGCAGCTTCACAAAGTCACTGTGGTTCTCATTTTCAACTGACACAAAATTAAACTGTTACTTTTTCTGATGTCAAACATCAATTGGTTTTAAACAATGCAGAATATATTTGCATTTAGTCTTTAAATTTTCAAAAATTAAATGCTAGCTTTCCGATATTTAATGCTTTCTTTCCAACAGTAAAATTAGAGTCAACTGTTTGAAGGAACATTGTGAAAGCCCAAATATAATTGTAGACTACAATCAGTCTTTGCTAATACCAAGAACGTTTGTACTATCATAATAGGAGAAACATTAAATGGCACAGGAGTAGTCACTCAGAGGCAAACATTGAGAATGCAGATCTTTCAATGTCTTTCAATGTGATTTAGTCAAGAGTAATTTGTACTTTGTTCACTCAGCTAGTTATCCGATATGCATAGAAACCCCTTGCCAAGTTTTGAGTTCCAAGAAAACACAAAGTTTTTGATTTGCAGTGTGACTACAGCTGGAACTGAAGCAGCAAAACCTGCACATCCTTGCAGTATAATAATAATCCTTGCATTTGATATAGCGCTTTTCCCGTCTTCTAGACGTCTCAAAGCGCTTCACAGAATATACTGTAAAGTGAACTGACTGTATATTTGTGGGTGAACGCGACAGCCAATTGCGCACAGCAGTATCCCACAAACAGTCGTGGATTGAAAATGACCAATTTATTATTGTTTTGGAGGGATTATTATTAGGCGTGTGGAGTAAGAAAACTTGCCCAAGTATGTTGAACAGTAGGCTTTCTGCTGCCTATCCTGAGTGCCAGCTGGCATATGCATTTATTGATGAGACAAGCAGGCTTGTCAATCATGAACAGTGCCCTGGACTGCTGCAGACTTGCCTGACTCAGGTTCATTAATGAGTCCAACAGATTGAAAGTCCGTTCTCCCTTTGCTTAATCTAACAAAAATCAAACGCTTTGAAGAACTAATATTGATCAATACTTCAACCCATGGCAAAATTCTCATTTTAACTATTAAGTGGACCATCCATTTTAGATCTCACCTTGTACAACTCCCCAGGGGTATTGACGAGCTTTAACCATCTTATTCCCAACTTTCACTTCTTCTGTACTTCCTACAACAGCGAAAGGCAAATGCCCCTAATTAAAAGGTAAAAACAATTTACATATTAATCAACAAAGGTTTGGCAATTCAATGGCATTCAGCATTAGGCACGAAAGTAAGACAACTTGAGTTTTAAACACTGTTTGCACAACATTGAGTTCAATATTGAGTATATAGTTTCCCTTTTCCCTAAAAATACATGACTTAACAAATAAAAATACTTTAATTTTAAACTACCAATAACATTACCAATAATGTTCCTTTGGCAATCGATAGAAAAGTGCTAAAAGTGCATTTTTTTTGTACAAATGTTCAAACTGTTTATTTTATGTTCTCCACAAATGTAGGCTCTAATAGTAGAACAATTATGATCTCAGTTAATGTAACCTTCTTGGCCATCAATTTTCTATAAATCAGAGATGCAAATACATTACTTCATACAGATTTATAGATTCGGCTATAGTTTGCAAACTTACATTCATTGTTGAATTAACTTTTGCTACTGTTTCATCATCTATTGGAAACTGATATATCTGGACTCCATTGCTGACCAGTTCACCCATTATCTTTATTTTAAATTTATTCAGTTCATTTTTGCAAATTGTATCTGCCTTTGCAATAACAGGAATGATGTTCACCTGTGAAAAAAAAGAACTACGTATTAGAATTCCTCCAAATACTTCAATGATGCAAACACCCCCAAAAACACACTATCAATGCACTTTACAGTATATCCTGTGAAGCACTTTTGAGATTTCTTCGTGGGTGAAAGGAGCTACAGCAAATGCAAGGATTATTATTACTTACATTTAAAAAAAAGTAGGAGAAATTCTTTGTCAAATACAGGAACTTTACTATATCATAATGTAAATATCATGAAATTGAAGATTGCTCAATAACGAAAGAACATTTTTTCATAGGCACTTCTGATGAATATAGCGACGTAGATTTCTGCCCTTTAACTCGTCAGCAAATTCCAGACTTTGAGCCAAGCAACTTTATGTATGTTTGAGTTCATGTACTGTGACAGTCATAAACATGAATTTTGAGGTAACTCAATTACGTAATAAAGCACTATATCAAATGCAAGGATTATTATTATAAGATGAAACACTATAGAATCACAACTATCTGCTTACATCTGTTTGAGTAGTTTGAACATTATTCCTCCGAACTACTAACTGTACAATTTATTATAATATACATAATAGGATACTGTACTTAATTGCCAAATTGGACAAGTTCAGATCCCCAGATGTCATACTTGAGCATTATAGCGCTCTGGTTTGGTTGCACTTACTGTACGATGTAAAGATCTGGTTAGCACAATAGAAGAGAGCTGCCCAGGCCATAGAGGCAGTGCAAATAAGAACAACGAAAATGATCCGCAGTATTAAGAGTGAGCAACGATGAAACCAGCTAGGTTCCTTCAGTCTTAGAAGAGATGGCTCAGAGAGGACCTTATAGAGGTGTATAACATTTTAAAATGGGATTGAAAAAGTAGACCTAGAACAATACTTTAGGATGCATCAAGACAGTAGAACAAAAGGACATAATTTTTTTTTAGCTGCAAAGGGCAATTTCAGGACATACACCTGGAAGATTATCTTTACCCAGAGAGCAATGAACGACTTCGGTAGGATGTCAGGAAAGGTGGTTGGACTCATTTTTTAAAAAAAACAGCGTGAGGCTATGATAGGAACATGGAAGAGTGGGTATTCTGTAAGGTTGAGATGAAATGGGCTAAACATCCTTTTTCGTTCAAACCAATCTTGTGAATATTTGGACATTTTAATTCTGTCAACATCCTTTTAGACATTTGTTTCTTGATCTAGTTCAATTTTCTTTTCTATCTAATCTCCTATCTATACTTTATTTCTCTAAAGATATCAAAATAAGATTCTTTCTTCCTCCTCTTGGTTCTTTTCCACCAACTATTTTGGAACAGGAGCAAGTTTCAGAGAATTGTTTTTTTTTTAAATAAGTAGTTTGTTCAGTCAATCAGAAGCCAGAAAGCAAAGTAATGATTCAGGAGTTTATAAGGTTAAACAGACACATTCTTGCATGTTAAGGGTGGGTAGGGGGGTGTGTGTGTGGAGAAAGAGGACTGCCAAATGAGTTTATCTGCTGACATCCCAGCAAGTCCGGAGGAGAAAATACAACCAAGATACCGTGAACAATGTAACTGCTCAGAGCAAAATAATAAAACACAACTAAAAGATTATTAAAATTCAATTGAGAAATAAAAATAAATTTCATAATAACTTCAAGGAAAAAAATAAAGCAATAAGTGAGCATTCTCAAATATTCTCACCAAACTGAAAAACAGATATGGCCCTAGAATTTCTCTGTATAACTCAGTCTCCTCATTACTGCCCCCTTCGTAACCCCAAATGCTACTGCCCACCATTCAGAGAATATGCATTTTATCCTGTCTTTCTGGCTTCAATTTCCCATCAATGTCACAATGTTTCCATGCCCCTTGATTTAATTCAATAATCTCTTATGTGGAACCTCATCAAATGAAAATCCATATGGATTACATCCAATGATTCTCCACTGTCCAGTACTTCAATGACTTCGTCAAAAAAAACACCCCAGGTTTGTCAGATCTGCACTGGATAAAACCACGCTGATCCGGCCTGATTAGTTCATGCCTTTCCAAATGCTCAATTATTTCAATATTTTCCCACCACTGATATTACACTTATTGGCCTGCATTTGTTTAGCTTTTCCTTCTCTCGCTTTCTAAATAATGGTGTGGACCCAATGTTCTCATTTTCTGTGTGGTATGACATACACAGAAACCTATCATCATGTTTAAGTGTATTCGACTAGATAGTTTCACATATGCATGCCACCTGTGCCTGGAAATTTATGTGCATTTAGAATAAAATTTGTACCCAGCAAATTATTGGATTTGGAACTCTTAGTTTAGTTTGGAAACACTTAAGCATTTGATGGGTTTCCACATATGTCAGGTACCTTGATTTCCAATATGCTGGGTACAAAAGTAAATTAAGTAAACAATTATGAACTCTCTTTCCCGGCAAGCAGTCTTTCCCAAGAGGGATGTACATGGCTTACCGAGTAGAAATAGTTATGAGGTGCAAGTTGTCAAGATCCAAGGTTTGGGGATCCCTGTTGTGCGCAACTGGCTGCCGTGTTTCGCCCACAAATATACAGTCAATTCACTTTACAGTATATTCTGTAATGCTCTTTGAGACGTCTAGAGTTCGTGAAAAGCGCTGTATCAAATGCAAGGATTATTATTATATCCCCACAGCGCACTGAGGTATTGCTAGCATTTAACCAGTTAAAATGGCATAGCTTGGCATTGAGAGCACAGTTTGCAAATAACAACAACAAATTACATTTCAGGTCGGAAGGACGTCCAAAGACACTGGATAGTCAGGGATTTGCACCCGAGCAGAGGGTTGGGATCAGGAGGGGTGGAGGGCACGGTCGAAGAGGAGGCACGTCCTGAAGGAGACAACGGAGGAAGCAAGGCCAAGGGAGTGTGGGATGGAGTTCCAAAGGGTTCCTGCTACTATGGCTTTTTTTTTGCCTACAAAGCATACATTCACTACACTTTATAGTAAATTCCATGAAATATTATGAGATGCCCTCCCAGCATGAAAGACGCTATATCAAATGCAAGAGGTATTATTATTTACCAGCTTTGGCTTAAGCTGAGTGAGAAATATCCCTGTTCCCAAGTTCCCTCTACAAATCCTGTTGATGAGCCACCCTGTGATCAGCGGTGCTCGAGAGGACCACAGACCCCTCTGAGTCAGTAACTCATACTACTGAGATCCCCACAAAGGGTTGACTTGATTCCAACAATGATTATGGAGTGAAGCAGATCAGTCAGTCTCAAGCATCAGAAGTGCTGTAGCATTTTTTCTGTAATACAGTCAAACCTGTTAAAGCAACCACCTCTATTACTGCCTGTCACTGTATTACCAATTTCTACAGGCCCATGCTGAACAGCCCACAGGATGCCCGCAACTGCCCATCTCACCATTGAGGCGACATTGGTAAATGCACTGGGAGCCTAACAGTAGTCTACATGTGAGCCTCGGATATGTTTTTTTTTAAATTTGGGGAGGGCTTGGTTGATGAACCAAAGAACCCTTGCTCAACAATATCAACTTGCACTTACATAGCACCTTCCACGCAGATTAGCGTCTCAGAGCACTTAGAGGCCACCCTTAAATAAAGACGCTTTGGTCCAGTCCCCTGAGTGGTTGCTGAAAAAGATTTGACTGTATTGTATTTATATTTTAGCATCTCATTTGCATCAGAAATGAAAACAATTGTATGAAGATAGAGTTCATAATCGTTGCTTAACTTAGTTTTGTATCTAGCATTTGTGGAAATCCAAGTATCCGATGTATGTGTAAAATCATCGCAATGCTTAAGAGTCTCCAAACCAAACAAGCAAGAATTCCAAATCCAATAATAATAATAATCCTTGCATTTGATATAGCGCTTTTCACGTCGGGAGGACGTCCCAAAGCGCTTCACAGAACACACTGTAAAGTGAATTAACTGTATATTTGTGGGCGAACGCGGCAGCCAATTGCGCACAGCAATGTCCCACAAACAGTCGTAGATTGAAAATGACCAATTTATTATTGTTTTGTTTTTTTGGAGGGATTATTATTAGGCGTGTGGAGTAAGGAAACTTGCCCAAGGTTTCGCCCTCTGCCTGGAATTGAACTCAGGTCTCTCACTTGCAAAGCGAGTGCTCTAACCACTGAGCTTAATATTTTGCAGGTACACATCTTCTCTATCATTATACACATTTAAAAAATTTCAGAGTTCTAATACATAAATTAAAACTAATTAAGTATAGTGTATATGAAAACTAAGCCTTGGCATGAACTACAATTAAAGGTATCGCATTATAGTAACAGATGTCCAACACACCTCATGGAACATTAGCTTCTTATTAATATCTAAGTGACACCACATAACTAAAACTAATTCTGGTCTAGTCAAAATGAACAGAAGAAAAAATACTTCCAATGTTGAAGAAAATACTTGTATTGAAAACTTGCTGGTAAATTTCACTACCAAGGATACAGCATAAACTGGGGCTCAGGCTGCCTGAATTAATTCTTGAACACACTTAGAGGAAATGGTTTCAGAAATGTACAATGCATGTCTGCAAAGTACAAATTAATAGCAATGAACCTACTCCTCTGAGGATCATCGCACAATAAAACATCTGTTTGGTGTTCCGTATATGCACAGAAAGAAAAAAAGGTTATTTGAGAGGAGCAGTTGGAATATGCCAATTGGTTATTTGAGAGGGATATTTGGGTGACTGATAACATAGAAGTATAAATCAACTTCATAATTACAATAATCACAAATTTACATTTATACAACCTTTCACATCAGGAGAACATACCAAGGTGTTCAGGGTTTTCACCAAGCTGAGGCTGGGGGCTGAGAGGAAATACCCCAAAACACTGTCTTGAAGCAACGTTAAAGGAGGCAAGGTAAGGTGCAAGTCAAAGGGACTCTGGCAGGATTTCCAAAGACTGGAGGGAGATTCGCTGATTGCCAAACCACTGATGGTGGGGTGAGTAGGGCAGAGAAAATGAAGCAGGCCTAGTGAGCAGAGGGCAGTGGCTGGGTTGGTAGGGCTTGAGGAGATTATAAAAGTAGGGTGGAGCAACTTACATTAATGCAGCACATTTCATGTGAAATAAATGCTTCCAAATTGTTTACAGAATTATATTCATTAGAAATGAATTTAAAGTTAATGCAACTAATTTGCACCTGAATTCATCAAGAATGAATGAAAAGGTTGAGGTGATTTGTACAAACTACTTTTGTTTTGGATTACAGTTTTCTTCATTACTTAATTGATTATCCCCTAATGCTGAGATAGATGTTGAACAATGATTTTAAACTAAAAATCAATTAGAAAGGGAACCTTACTGCTACACTGATGACCTTTTGGAAACAATACCACTCACTGCTGCACTATGACGTACAGACTAGTTGATTACAGGTTCTAATCAAGTCTTTGCTGAGTTACCTGACCCTTAGGTATCTGAATTTGGGTGGTTTGGATTATTTTGGTCACACATGCGTACTGCAAATTCCTAGAATTCCTTAAGATACAGAATATGGGAATGTCCCTACATAATGACAAAAAAAATATATACTCACAAATAATGAGTAGATGACAAACTTAGAAAGATAACTTCTGAATGCACACAACTGTCTTCCCATTATTAACGTCACACCTGCCAGCTTGGTTCATTGGTGGAATGTTGAGAATGTTCAGGGGACGACCAGACATTGGGAATACAGATTCTTCTCACTCAGCTCCTGTTAGTAACTGTGCAAGGCAAAGCCGTAAAAGTAGGGTGATCCTAGCTAGACAAGCACTTTCAATGTTGAACTTGCTTGGTAAACTCGAAAAATACTGCAATGCACACTATGGGGACCCCAAACTGTGGTTATTGTAAACTGTGCCTAATACTTTCTGAAATTACATGTGGAAACAGTGTACGTTCCTCCAGGGAGAGTGCGCGCATTCCATTCAGGACACAGGGAAATTTCCATGTGTAAGTGGCATGCATGCTCAGTTTGGTTTGGATACTCTAAAGCAGGAGTCTCCAACTGGTTAATCGCTGCTAAGTGGCACTTTAGCACATGATTAAAAAGACAAGAAAAAAGAACGATAGAACTTCGTAGTTACTGAGTCCAATTAAAAGCAAGGCCAGATGCAAGAAGTATTTCAGGTATCTCAAAATAACAGAATAAACTTTAATGTTTAAACTGTGGTAAATATTGCTATACTTCCTCTTGGTCTTAATTGAGCATGTGCGAGATGCCACCTAGCAGCGATTGTCCGATTGGAGACCCCTGCTCTAAAGCAGGGTGATGGGTTTCAACAAGTCAATCATCCCCAATGGACTAAAAAAATGCTTAAACCTTGTAATGCTTAGAATGCTGCATCTTTAGCTTATAAATAAAGCAAAATACAAATGCCATAAATACATTGGAAAAAATGTTTCTCCACTTAATCACATTGCTGAAAGACCTGCTTTTTTTGTACAACATATTCATACAAACTCACAATTATTTTTCCTCAATTTGAATTACTGCTGGCAGATGTGCTAATATTGGGATTGTATCAATATATTTAAAATATAAATTATAAGTGAAATAGATGAGTATGCTTCCGGATGCTATAATCATCATGAGCAAGTTGATGGTACTGAAGCTGCACATTACTATCCATGAAAAGTCAGTAATTTTAGCAAATAACTAAAGTATTTAACAAATAACCAAACAGAATCCCATTCCTAAATATCACCTACCTTGCTATCCAGTTTTTTCATGGTCACTAAATCTAGTGACTTAAGAGAATGGCCAGTTGGAGAAATGAAGTACAAGCAAGCATGGATGCGAGTGTCATGGTAGTTGTATAAGGAACGTTTAATCTTCAATTCTTCTTGCAGGTAGGCTTCAAATTGTGCATCAATGTAGTCAACAACAGGCTTATAACTAAGAAAAAGTCATACCGTACAATTAAAATTCAGAATACCGAACACAAATTAACATCTACATAAAAGTTCTGCATAAAATGTCTATTTCTTTCTGCGAGATCTTGAGGCTAAATTGTATCAAACAATGCATTTTTCATTGAAATTGGATTTCACTGGAAATAATCCCAGAAATCCTTGACATCTGTTTGCACCCAGCACAATGTGAGGGGATAAGTCTGTCCTCCTTGTCAGTATCTACATGAAACTAATTCTATGTTAGAACAAAACAGGTAGCAACATTCAGAGATTGCAAGGATTGTGTGGAAATGGAAACCCTAGGACTGAATTAATCAAGTCCTCTACAGAAGCTGGGAGCTAAGAAAGATAATTGGAAGGGCAATGGAGCAAAAGTTACTCCAAATTGGCTGCTGCATTTGCCTCCAAATACAGAGTCTACACTTTATAGTTATTCCTGTGAATAGCTTTGAGACAACACAATGACACTATATCAAATACAAGGATTATTATTAATAGTCGTATTACCCCAACTAACAAATATATAATATAAAGATACCAATCAGGTTGAAACCCCATCAAGAAAATTCTGTACCATGCAGGTGGCTTAAGAACATATCTACAAACTATCTAATAATCTAATCATAAATTTGACTTCTCCTTTAACAATGCATGTAACTGGTGCTCTAACCAAGTTTGGAGTGCTCAATCTGGACTTCAAGCCAGAAGTGTTCCATTGCCAAACAATGATATTACTAAATCATGATCAGGAAAAAATTCTCCCATCAGCATTTAAAGTTTTGTATAAATCATCAGATATGAACAAGAGGAAAACCACAATACTGTTCCAAATGTACCGAAAGATTTGTGGATATAGTAACCTGTAATATTCACAAGATTTCAGATTCCCAGCAGTATTTTTTTTTACATTTTCACTGAGTAAGATACTCATAGCTTCCTGTTTGTACTTGCAGTAAAAAAAAAGGCCCTACTGGTGACCAGAGATGTATTTTTTTATATATTAGTTCATACAGAACTCTTACCTGTCTTCTTTGTTTATCTGGTCTCCAAAGCCCACTGAATTTACAATGGTTAGTTTTAAGCGGGCAGTACTTTCCTGCAGTTCGTATGTCTGGGACTTCAATTTCACCTGGTTTTCATAATGCGATGACTCATTATTCTCAAAGCTGGTGTTAAACAAGGTATCCATAAGAGTTGACTTTCCAATGCCAGTTTCTCCTGAAATTATAATAGAAAAAAGAAACTTAAATATTTACTCCAATACAACCAAATACATGGACTTCATATCCGCGCTCTGGGCCGCGGTTGATATAAAGGCTTCGATTGAAACATCACACGTATTTCATAAGAAGGAACATAGAGCGAGTTGTGTCATTTAAGTAATCCAATATAACAGCTAGGAGTGTGCGATCAATAGGGGAAATCAAGGAAATGTGATGGTAGAGGACATTCTTTTCAAAATGGCATATAATGTTCAAACAATGCTTTTACTATAACAAATCTACCACAATTCATTTTCATTTTGTCCTGTAGAAGAGTTCTAAGACCCTCTAGGATTAGGAATCACAGAGAACTTTATACTTCATAGTAATGTTACACGGTGGAGTGCAGAAAAGAAGGCTTAATTAGAAAGCAGAAAGTGCTAGAGCTGAAGAATAAGAAAAACTTCATTACTTAGCCACAGTAAGTGCACAACATGTACCGCAGAAGGAACAAAAAGATTATGATCCAAGAGTGGTCTTCAAAATGTAATTGTTTAATTACGCTTCACCCACAAAATATACAGTCTATTATGTGAAATGTAAGAATTATTATTATTATAACATGGTTTCAAATGTTGAGCAGTTGTGCCCTTGCTCCTCTGCTCCCTCCAACTAAATATCTTGGGATAATTTTGAAAGGGATGAACATTCACATAAGCTTAACCACAGTTTCTATCATCAATTTTAGAAAGTAAAGCTGCCACATTCAGACTAAGAATTTTAAAAAATAGATTAAAGAATTTGGATTGTATTAAAAATAAAGGAACACAATTAATCTAAATTTATTCACATTAAGATTGTAAAACTAGATATACTACTAACAGACAATGAATGTTAAAAACGTACTGACTGAAAATTCCCAAAGGATTTTAAATTTATAGAACAAAACGAACATCTGCACACAACTGCAAAGCAAACTAATCTGTTGCACTGCAGCATTCCAGCATAAATTTTTCAAAGGCTTAGAAGTCTTATCATTACTACATTTTAGCACATTACTGAACCAATGTTGTACATGACTGGAATACAAAACTGAGCCTTGAATAAATCAGTTGTGACCTAATGCAGTCCTTTAACAGAACTAAAATTAACAAAAGTGACAAGAGGGAAGATGCAGCAATTATTAGATTTTGAAAGATAACAAATTTGAAAATATTAAATCTTTCAGTAGTGAAATAGTCAAATAAGGTGCAAATAGTTATATAAATTTCATAATCTATTGTCAGAAATACCTGCAGTTCCATTTTTAATACTCAATGGTACAGTTAAATACCAGTACAACTGAATTGCTTATCAGTCATTTTATAACATTATCAGCCTATACCGTGAGTTCAAAGTCAGAATGTGAGGGTTGATCCTACAACCTTCTCACTCAGAAAAGAGAGTACTCCCAATTGAGCCTGACTGACACCCCAAGATCCAAATGGTTGGGATTTCAAAAAGGATAGCTCTGCTTTAAGATAATTTTGAACCACCATCTAACATTGCATGCAATTCCCTAGAAACATCTATGGCACGTGGAACATGTTGTGAATGAAGGCGGCAGAGGAATTTTGTAACTGCACAGAAGCCTCTTTTGTCAGAATGTTTCTTGTGGAGTGAAAGATCTCATTTATAAAGACATTTGCTGATAAAACCTCTTTGTGCATCATCATCAATCACACTAGCACTAAAAAAATTGTGCAAGTTATTTAGACAAAATTCCTATATTAAAAATTATTAAAGAAAGCTTTTATTTTCTAAGAAAATTGTTGTATTAAACAATAGTTCAGGCAAACAAAGCAGATGAATAACATTAACTGAATATATACTGGCTAGTATATATATTTATCACTTCACGCAGTGCTCTGGTATATCCAGCTTCACTGTCCTGATTGGTCTGTAGTAACAGAACAAAAGGTATACTGTATTTGTGTCTCTTCGTTGTAACGATTTAGATTTGATAGTCAGGCTCTTTATTTCTACCAATAGTTTGATTAAAACATGGAACATCAAATACTATACACTTAGATAGAAGTGACAAAAGTATTTACCAACACAGAGGATATTGAAGCAAAATCCCTGGGAGGTAGATTTATTGACCAACTGATCTGGTAAGCTGTCAAAGCCAACATGGCCTGTCAGGGAAAGTGGACGGACATTTTCACTCTGTAAGCAAACAAAAGTACACCAACTTAGTTACAAGCTAAAACATTCTCTAAGCTTATACACAACTACATTGTTTTACTTACAATTTATAACACTAGAATTTAAGATTTTAGTGTAAAGTCAATACTAACCTGCTAGAAACAATTTTGCAACATTAATCATGCTTGCTGAATAATATTTTAAAAATAGCTATAACCAACTAAACACAACTCTACCCAAATCAATGTGTGACTAAGTAAAGAAACAATATGAGCCAACAAAAAATGTTCTTGTAATCTAATTAAAACTGTTTATGGATATTCTAAACACAGAAGAACCATTTTTATTTAAAAACTTTAAAAACATAAAAGCATTTTACATTCTACTTTATTTAGTGATGCAGCTTATAATTTTTTTAAAACAGCAAACATTAGGGAATCCAAAACATCAAAAAGCTGTGTTTAGAACTAAGTCTCTCCAGCAATTTATGTTTAAGTGCACTGTTACCATATTTAACCAAATGTTTTTTGCATTGATTAAAACAACACATTTTCTGCATCACTCAGAATTTCAAGAATGGTTCCAGTAAACATAAATCAGTAATAGGGTGATGAACTTCCCAATAAGTTTAAAGCAGTGGCCTAAGTTGTTGCTACTTTTGTTCAAAAAACACAGGAGAGCACATCACCAAGCACTCTTGCTGCGATAGCTTTGAGTTACAAATTCTTCATGCTTGAGATAAATCCGATTTATTCTGGAAATGGAAATCCACAGTTCTTTCATTTCCCTGCAGCAATAAAATGATGGGACTGAGCAAACAACAATATAAGTGGAATCAGTCAAGATATGAGCCAGCTGCAGATTCTTCTGTTTCTGAGATATGGGTTGCAGTCAGAAATGGTAGGTTTTTTTAGTATAAATATTTAAATATTTTTTTCCAGCATTTTGGATAATTACATTCTTGAGATAACTTCAAGCTTTCCAGTACAAATGATGGATTGGAACCTATCAATGAGATTTGTTACGCAGTTCATTCATACAGACCCCACTGAATCATTGCTAACGAAATTGAAATATTTGTGCTTAAATGTGAAATTCACTGTGTATGCGGGGACACATACTCTAACAAAAGTCAGAAATCCACTTAACCAGGTTAAAAAGAAATTCAAATTCGAGCCTGAAATAGGAGCTTGTCGGACTGACAACTTGCAAAACTGCATAGAGGGGGGGAAAAAAATAAGGGCACAATGGCAAATTTGAACTAAAGTTAATGAAAGAGCCAGTTATTAAAAGGATTTATTAAAAAAAATCATGTTGGGGTAATTGTTCTATTTAGGTAACCAATTGTCCCAGCAGACACATTAAATTACACATTTAACCACAAATATTTCAATTAGTGCAGTTCATACTTCATCAATATAAATTACTTTCCTACAACACACAAAACTAGTTATTATCCAAATTAAAGAATAAATCTCATCAGCTTTACAAAGTACAATATATTAACTGAATGAATATAAAAATATATATAAATATAAAAATCCATGCATTTGTTACAATGCCTTATGTTGACACGTCAGTAAAGTGGATTTGTAGATGAATGCAGCAGCCAATTTGTGCAGACAAAATGAATGACCATTTATCTGTCTTGAATGTTGATTACTCATGTTTCAAATCATGCATTGGATGTACAACGTTCACCCAAAGAGTCGACAGGTCACCAATTCATCGAAAGGGCAACACCTCTGCCAATGCAGTGGTGTCAAACACTGAATGTAGTGTCAGATCATACAAGCTCAAAGTCCTGATGTGGGGCTTAAACGTACCACCTTCTGACTGAGACAAAAGTGCTATGAACTGAGCTATGCTGATTCTTACCAACAGTCTTCTCACAAGCACTGTAAATCAGCCCGGTATCAGTTGGATTTAGTCGTAAGTGCTCCAAGACGCTATCTGCATAAAGGGTACTACATAAATGTAAATTGTTGTTAATGCTCTCTCTTCAGAGTAAGAATGTTGTGGATTCAAGTCCCAGTAGTCACCAAGAGGTGATATCATCTGTAGACATGGGGTCAACTTCCACAACACATTATATAGCTTGTAAATATTATGTATATGGTTTAGGTGTTTACTTAATGGAAAGCAAAACTGAATTTATTCAGTTAAGAAAACAAGATAATGTAGCTCTTCAATTTTATTTTTACCTGAACAGGTGTTCGCATAAGAACTTGCCCGACTGCACTGAAATGGACCAGATGTTTTGGCTCATTATTCTTTCTGACCATGCAATAAAGAGTTTGTAGCAAGATCTTTCTATAACCCAAAATGTCCTCAAAGAATTTAAAAGCAATAAAAACACAAAAAGTGTTGGAAATCAACAGCAGATCGGTTAGCATCTTAAACAGATTGCTGATGAATGATTGAACTCCAAAAGCTAATACCTCAATCTCTTTCAGATGCTGATTTGTTGGTCAAGGATTTCCATTATTTTCAGAGTTCTCTAGGGAGGTTTACCTCCAATTATCTTTTGATAGTGACATAACTTATTTTGCCTACAAAAATAGTCACTGAACTTTACATTGAACCCTGTGAAGTGCTCTGAGGTGTCTTCCCAAATTGAAAGGCACTGTATCAAACGCAAAGAATATCAAAAGATCCCTCAATTAATGTTTTCTGCAAATATCAATATATCACTATGATAAAGCTTTCTGCAACTAGAAAGGCGGAGACCTCATCCATCACTATCAAAAAGGAATCCATTTGGTAGAGAAACTGTTGTTGCTCATCCTGAAAAATAGGATGGTCTCCATATCACAACCGCAAAAAGTAGATTTGAGCTGTAGCTATTGACATCACAATAGGTGTGCGTGTTCCTAGTCACCGGGGACAGGGAGTCATCCCACTCAGCTCTTAACCCTGCAAGCCAAAGCCCTCACAGGTAAGGGTGGCCCGAGCTGGACAAGCAGCGGGAAAGCTTGCCAGTCAGCAATTGCAAGCTTATGCGGTTTTAGCTGGTTAGACTCCAGCAGAACCCCAATGCACCCTCCAGGGTCCCCCAAACCTTGGCTCTTGCCAACCTGTACATAACTTATTTCTGGAATTACGTAAGCAGGATGTATCCCTCCAGGAAGCTAGTGGAATTCCATTCAAACAATTATCTCTAGGATTTCCACATGTAGGTGGGATGCATGGAAATCTCAGCTTGGCTTCGATACTGTTAAGCATGGTGATGGGATTTCCTCATCTGTCAAAACCTGGCTGACCCCCAAAAAATTGTTCCTAGGATGAATAAAAAGGTGATCGATCTCAAGTTCTTTCAGTTTATACTCATTTAATATTGTTTACAACAATGGTACAAAGATCTTAATTTCTTTGAAAGTAATGTATTCAGGATTGCTTAAATTCAGTTCAGAATTGTACACTGGGGACAGGACAATGTAGAAAAGTAATAGCCGTCCTCACTTATAAACTATTTCTAGTGAATATCTCAAATTGCAAAAATGTCACTGGGTAATAGACTCATAATTTGTCGTTTTGATGTTTATGGGAATGGAAATCTTATTGTTGCATTAAAGGAGTGTTAATCTTGGCATGTGCTTGTGCGCTTGTTATGCTGAACGCACAAAAATTAAAAATGTTCTAGTTGTGTTAATAATAACCATCACTGTAAGAAGCAACAATACCTGCCACTGGCTGGGGGCAAGGTGGGAAAGAAAGGGCCAAAAACAGAAAATAGCTACACAAAGTATTTTAAACCTGAATTCCTATTTAGTAAACAAAGCAAAGGGTTTACATAAACAATGTAGAATTTTTATCAGGACCCACCAAATAAGTTTACAACCTTGCAAATAAAGTCACAGATCTCTTTAAAATTAAAACCATGTATGAACAGCCAAGGTTCAGTATAGAACAACAACATTACATTTGTATATTATTATTATTACTACATTTGTAGAGCGCCTTTCACGTCAGTGGGACATCCCAAGGCGTAACAACATTGTTACGAGAAACAAGATGAGTCCAGAGTGGATTAGTTGACTATAATCCGTAGGAGGAATGAATACCTCCCTTATTATTCCTTCCTTCTACAGATTTGAAATTATGGGAAATTTAATTAAGAGTAGGAGTCAGTGTCGTAATTCTCAGTTTCAACAAAGTTGACAAGGAAGAAAAATGTGGAGTAGTCATTTGTCATTTAGACTTAAGCAAATTAGGGGGAAGTTTGGCAGAGTAACAACATTAATAACATCAATAAAAGGCAAGAAAGGTTATTGTTGAAAATAATAATCCTTGCATTTGGCACAGTGCCTTATCACATCGGAAGGACATCTCAAAGCAAGTCACAAGATTTGCTATGAAATGGAGTGACTGTATTTATAAGCAAATATGGTAGCACAACTGCACACAGCAATTGTCTCACAAACAGCCATGAATTTGGCCACCAATGATTGAATAATAATAATCCTTGCATTTGATACAGCGCTTTTCATGTCTAGACATCTCAAAGCACTTCACAGAATATACAGTAAAGTGGAGCGACTATATTTCGTGGGCGAAGCACAGCAGCCAATTGCACACAGCAATGTCCCACAAAGAATCATGGATTGAATGACCAAATTATTGTTTTTTTTCTTAAGGGATTATTTTCAGGTGTGTGGAGTAAGGAAACGTGCCCAATGTTTCGCCCTGCCGGGAATCAAACCCAGGTCTCTTGCTTGAGAGGCAAGTGCACTAACCACTGAGCTACAGGACTCCACTGAGGGGGCATGGGATGTGCAAAAGGGCCGTCCCAGCTGATTGTAGAGGCAGGATGAGGAGTAGGGCACAAGGAGATCAGAGATAGGGAGTTGCTAGGGTATGAAGAGATTTGTATGTGAAGATCTTGTCGATCTGTTCGGACACGGAGCCAGTGACACTTGACAAGGGTTTGGGAAATGGGTGTGCGCAAGGATGAGAGTGGTGGATCATGACAAAAAGAAATGTAAAATTTCACCACCAATTTTGGCCACCCTCCCTTACCCCTCGATTGGCGTCCAATCCATGACTCTCCAACACGTTGGGACGTCCAAAATGTAATTTTGTATTGTATCAGTGAATACTAACTGAAAACACACTTTCAAAACGCAGACACATTTAGTCTGGAAATAGATATGTATGCTCTCGGGTATGCCAAGAAAAGTGTACGCACAGGAAATTCACCTCAACGAAAGGCTGGGTGGGGTCATTTATACCTCGTCAGATGTAAGCAATTCAATTCGGTGAGCAAGAGGCTGGTTGTGTAACGTGAAAGCGTGGCTTTGGTTTCAAAATCAATTGCCAGCAAACCAAAGTACGTGCAAAGCAAAAGTACACGTCATTTACTGACTCGGCAAAACAGTATCGCCTTCACAAACGGATCAAAATACAGTGCTTTCAAAAGGCAAATGTAATTTTTTAAAAAAAAATAAAGGAACAACCAATGCAGTAACTTTATTTAAGGTCCTGGTGAAAGACCAGCAGGGAGCTGGAAAGCCCTGGTGCAAAGCCCTTGAGATGGCTGAGACATTTTTTTTCTCTCCTCCCCCATCACATTCCAGATAGAGCAGAGCTTACGACCACCGCCTTAAAACCAGGATTTGTCGGAAGTATTCCCGTCACATTTTTCAAAAAAAAATCGGGAAGCCCGAACTGAATTTTTTTTTAAAAAAAAAGGGGGGAGGGGGGGGGCGGGGGTATTTTCACAGTTTTTTAAAATATATATATATATGTAAAAGATCAGCGGTGGCGGAATGAAATTTTTTAAAATATAATTTCACACAGAAATCACGTTAAATCAAACCTCTCCCTCCCTCTCTCTCTCCCTCCTCCCTCTCCCTCCCTCTCTCTCTCTCTCCCTCCTCTCTCCCTCCCTCTCTCCTCCTCTCCCTCTCTCCCTCTCCCTCCCTCTCTCCCTCTCCCTCCCTCTCTCCCTCCCTCCTCTCCCTCTCTCTCCCTCCTCTCTCCCTCTCCCTCTCTCTCCCTCCCTCTCTCCCTTCGTTGGAAGAAAAACTCCTGTTAAAACTCCCCCCCCCCACCCTCCGGGCTGTGCCCTCCCGTCCCCTCCCACCGAATTCCTCTCCCCTCCGGCCCGGGAGGGGAGGAATGCGGCCTCTGAGCGGTGGCACGTCTCGCCCGGCTCCGACTCCCCCCCCCCCACCGCCCCCTCCCCTGACGGACTTAACCTTTTTTTGTCCCCCCCTCAAAACACACGGTTTTAAAAAGTACGTTTATAACGAAGCGAAATCACTGTTAATTCGGACAGATTGGATTTCGGGGACCAGTGACCGACCCGCTCTCGGCATGAAGTCACTTGGGGGGGTGTGGGGTGGAGGGAGGGAGGGAGGGAGGGGGGACCCGCGACCTTTGGGAGTTTGTAGAGATATATATATAAAAAAACACAAGGAAAAATCGCCCGTAAACTCTTCATTCCTCCCTCCCTCCCGCGTCTCTCTTTCCAGGTGGAGGTTCAGATGACTCGGGAGCACTCTTCCCTCAATCCCCCGTCTTGTCCGGTTCTCTCTCCCTTTTTTTCCCAGTCCCCCTCCCCCGGGCTCGGAGGGGAACCCCCGCTTCCAGTGAAGCGCTCTGAGACGCTACCCCCCCCCCCCTACGCGGTGGTGGTGGTGGGGGGGGAGGGAGGGAGGGGGGGGGGGGCTAATACAAGTGCAAGTTGTTGTCGTCGCGGGTGGGAAGGACTCACTCACCACTTGCCGGGCGACGTCTGCCGAAGCCATTGCTGAGGCGGTTGGGGCGGTTACGGCGCGAGAGCAGAGACGGCGGCGCTCGAGACGGCCTCGGCCGCGACCCACTCACAATGCGGGCAGCTACCAAGTGCCGAGGGGAGAAGGGGAGGCGGGGGGGCGTGGGGAGGGGCGGGAGGACACGCAAGACCAACCACTGGCAATGCGTGAGACAAAGTCTTCCACCGATGTACGATAACATTACGCGCAGAAATCGGATACGTGTTCAAAGGGTCGACGACGCACGTTTTTTTTTTCCTCTTCCCCCCCTTCCCCCAAACCACCAGCCCAGGTTCGGTTTGGTAGTGCCGGGAGGGGTCGGGTCAGCGCATGTCTGGCAGGTGGGCAGCATCAGACCGGAAGTAGTTGGTTGCTATGGGAGGGGAGGGGCGGGGCTTCCCGACAGTCTGGCACAAGGTAACACCATGTAACCCATCGGCGGAGAAAGACCGACAGACAAAACGTACGTAGGGGTTCGGCCATGGGCGGGACTGGGACGCCCGCTCTTGGAGGTTATTGCCGCCAGCGCCGGGTGTAAGAAAAGGGCCACCGACCACAATGGCCACGGAGTTCAGCCTGGACGCCGTGCTGCGGTTCCTGGGGGAGCGGGGCGGCAGGGCCAGGAGCGACGAGCTGCTGGAGCATTTCAAAATGTTCCTCAGTAACCCCGACAGCCGGGCCAGAGACCGCGGGGCGTTCAAGGAGTTCGTGAACCGAGTGGGGCTCGTGGTGCACGAAGGCGGCGTGAAGTACGTCTGCCTGAAGAAGAAATACCGCGACAGGATGAAGCCCGACTGCCACGGCGCGGCGGCCGGTGAGCGGCAACCTGGAGCCGCCGCCGCCTCAGGGTCACCCGTGGGATCCGGGGAGCCGGTGGCCGGAGGGGACCAGGCGACGGAACCGCCCAGGATTTTGCCGCCGGTGGTGGCAGCTGTTCAGCGCGGATGTGTGGACAAGTCGGGGGACGGCGTGAGGTGTGATCAGCAGCAGCAGCAGCAGCCGCCTCTCACCGCGCCTCCCGCACTGCCACCCGCGGCAGCGGCTGATGGCGATCAAACTGGACCTATCGATCGGCCGATTGCGCAGCGCGTCTGTGCCGAGAGGGGCATCGTCGCCCTGATGGGGAGGGCATCGCTGCCCGTCTGTTCCCACAACGGTCAAGACGTGCCCACCGCGTCTTTGGTGAGGAAGGGCCAAGAGGCGGTGGAGGAGAAGGAGGAGGCGGTGGTCCAAACTGAGTTTAGCCAACCTGGTGTGACCGAATGTTCCCGATCCCACGCTGGCCTGGGGGAAAGCTTTCCAAAGCTGGACTCCAAGGGGGTTGAGTGGGCGAAGGAGAACGCAAGTGTCCCCGTCGACTCCTCTAATCTGTCCGTTCGCGATGACGAGGGGAGAAATCCACTCAAGTGGGATTCGTCTGAAAACAACTCGGCCCACAAGTCCCAGTTTAATGTTCAGGAAGACGCGGGCTCCGCAGGACAGGATGTACGATCGAAAAACGTCAGTAACAGCATGTTACAGAGCAACCTTTCACCGACACAAGTCAAGACAAATCCAGACTTAATTACTACAGGACGTTCCAGAAAGCATTTGCAACGCAGCTTGACAGTAAATCGAGATGATCGCTCTAGCAGTCTCGATAATGATGGATTTGAAAGCGCAAGTGATTCAGCGTGCCCTCACAGTGAAAGCTTACCAAATACACCACGGTCGAGCAGGAAAAACTTCAGAGAGCTGATGATCAACAGCTCACCTCAGTTAAGACGCAGTGTTATTTACAATAATCCTGTTGTTGCAGTGCCAACTATTAAACTTGGAGATGCCGGATCTAGAAAAAGCGATAGTGACACATCCTCTTTGGTATCTTCAAAACTGGATGATGATGATACTGCATCAGTTGCACTTGATCCCTTGGAACATGAATGGATGATACATGCTTCAGCAGGTCGATGGGATAGTCTTGAGACCTTGTTGGCAGCTGATCCTAGTTTGATTACCAGGAAAGATTTTGTTACAGGGTTTACGTGTATTCATTGGGCAGCAAAACATGGCAAACCAGAATTACTTGCAATGCTTGTTAATTATGCAGGAAAACATGACATACGAATTAACATAAATATGCGCTCAAGTGGTGGTTATACGCCGCTACATTTGGCTGCTATGCATGGACATACAGAAGTAGTAAAACTATTATCTGGTGCATATGATGCAAATGCTGATATTCGGGACTACAGCGGGAAGAAAGCTTGGCAATATCTAAACCGTGATGTTTCAGAAGAAGTAAGGAGTCTCATAGGTGTACCTAGAATTTCTGACTCCGAAAGCGCATTGCAGAATGGAAGTGGCCGTTGGAGGCTGTCCAAAGTTCTCCCTGCTAACCTGACGCACAAACTGATCAATGTTCCCGAAGAAGATACGTGTGATGCTATGCCTTCAAACGCAGTCAGCCGGAAAACATCTACGAAAATGAAACTCAATAGAATCAGGTTTAAAACCCAGATTATTCACAGCACACCTTCTCTTCGAGGAACGGATAATGATCATGGCCCAAAAAGCCCATTGAAACTTAGGCCAAAGTCGACAATATTTGGATAAAACCACTAAAAAGCAACTTCTTGAATTACAGAGATAAATTGGTGGTGGTAGCACTTATAGTGAATGAAAGTGGCAATACCTCGACTGTGTTTCTGTAAAAAAAACTATCACAATAAGAGAAACTAATATAGATATTAATGAATGATTTGATTTTAACAGTCCAGCCTGGTTCTGAAATGTAGCATGATGAGGACAAAATTCTGTATTGTGTTGCAATAATATTTATTAACACGTGCCTTCCAACCAATTATTGCTAATCACCTATGTATATCATATTGGCTTAAAAATTGTATCACAGTACTACGTTGCACTTTTGAAATAGAATAAGGGCTCGTAAGAGGAAAAAAACTGCCCCTCTTCAGATTTTTTAAATATAGTCCAGTATTGGGCAAATACAAAACGAACATCACCTGGATATAGAATTCATTTTTTAGGGAGAAGGTTAAGAAATAAAAATATACTGGAATCTGATTTTGAACATAAATACAAAAATATTAAAGCGAATTTGGGAAGACATTTTTTTGTCAGCTAAGTATCTGACCCATACAGAAATCCATCACCATTCTTAATAGGATCCAAATCAGACTGGGAGTTCTATTTATGCCATCTATACATGGAAAATTCCTCATCTAAAATGGATTTCATACTTTCTCCGCAAAGTGACACACCCTGCTAAACTAATTACAGAGTATTAGGCGTAGGTTGGCAACAACCAAGGCTTGGGGATGGATCCTTGAGTGGATGTGTGGGCACTGCTGGAGGTTAACCATGTAAAACTGCATTGCTTGAATTTTGAGCACTCTGGCAAGCTTCCTTCCCACTTCTTGTTCAACTATGACCATCCTCATTGGCTTGCAGGGTTAATAGTAGTTGAGCGTGAAAAATTACTGTCCCAGTGCCACTCCAGGTTCTGCCTCCCTGAGGCTTGTCTTAATTCCATACGCATTCACGTATTCCCAAAATGTGAATCAGATTAGTTTTCACTGAACTATTTTGAACCATCCAAAACAGTTAAAGTAGGGAAGGTTTTATTTTTGCAGTACTACACTGCCTTGGTAGATTAATGAGGAGAGAGATTTCTTGGTCACTGTAGGTTCCAAACCAGAAAAATCAGTTGGCTCAAATATGAAATGCTGCTTTTCCTGTGGTAATTGTGACTAGTTCTGGTTGGTTGGAAAGCTAACTTAGCTGCAAAGGCTGTACAGTATTGGTATACAATAGAATGTAGAGGGAGGTTATTTAACACGAATTATCGTTAAATGTTACACTACAGTATTAGAGTAAAGTGAGAATTTTGAATTGACTAATGACTCGTGTGGTGTGGTTATCAGTCTGTTTGATTTAAATTGGAAAAAAGACCAAACTGTTCTGGCAGCACTCATTTTTGTTACTTTTAAAAGCATGAGAATATATATTGTTCATCATCTTAGTACTGGTGATGCATTTTAAGTAAAACAGCTTGTTCTAAAATGGGCAGGAAGGCTTTTTTTTCCTCATTGATTTCTTGCAAAAATATGATCAGGCTGGTCCTTTTAATCTGATGCTGCTGGATTTTAGAAACATTTTTCTTTCAGTTCATGCTGCCAATTAATGGATGAACTCATTGTTACCCTTGCAGCTGCTATTAAAACAGGAGCCGAAGCTCTCTCTTCGTGTTAAATTGGATGTAGGTTTAGTGACTGCTGTTTATGCTGCCTGAAAAATATCAGCAGATTTACTTTCAAAACTGAAATGCAATTTAGATTAAGATGCATAGTGGTGGTAGATTGAAGTTTCATTAGAAATATTGTTTATTAAAAGGTACATACAGTAGACGGGTAGTATCTGAATGTGATATTTTAGAAACAAATTCCCTTTTGCCTTTTGAACTATTTTCTTGGAAACTCAAAATTATGATTCCTTAATGTTGTTCTTTTCTTCAATATATTTTTTTAGTTCTCTCAAAGCTTATTGTAAGGCAACTATTTTCCTTATAATGTAGCCATATGTACAGTTTAACAAATGTTTCAGACTCTGCTGATGATTGGCGCTACTAATCATTTCATCAGAGTTAGAAACCATGCTGGTTTGAATTAATTTTGAAGTGCAAGCTGAATGACTTGACATGGTTTAGAACATTTTAAATGGAAATTGTTGGTTGGTTTGAATTCTAGTCTATGCAGACCTACAAACAAAAGCTACAGGATCTGTGTTTGGTATCTGACATCATCTGTGTTTTTTAAGAGAATTTAGTCGTTGAACTGTACAAACACTTCAACTAGGCTGTTTGTTTATTGAGTAAAGTCAAGTTTAAATGACTAAAATGCCGATTATATATTTGTTTTCTAGTTTAAACTTTACCTATTATAGTGGCACTTGAAATGTTAGTTAATTTATGCTTCCTTCACAAAATGTTTCATTATTCACAAATGCTTGAAGTACATGCTTTAAGTGCATAGCTTGAAGCAGCTAGTAACATTTGGCACAAGTTTTCTTTTTCTATATACATTTCACAAAACACATTTCTTTTTGATACCGCTGCAAATTAACATATTTAAAATGTGCTATATTAAGAGCTTCATGTTCTAGCACCTGGATTTATCCATTGGCTTACATGAAACATGATTGGGTTAGTCCAAGTCCAGTTGCTTGTGGATTTCGACACTCTGCACCCAAAACTATCCATAATTTGGCACAGATTGGCAATATCACTTCAAAAGTAACTGCTTTGAAAAACTAAAAATTCACACACGAGGTGCTATTTTTCTGAGGTTTAGAGGATGGTTTAATCTCTTATCTTGATCTGAGAGAGCTTAATATTGATATTAGATGTAAGAAAGCATTCACATTGACAGTTTTTCTCAACTTGACCACAAAGTTCACTTTTTAAATGCTTTTTAATGACTACATAGGAAAAATGAACATTTTCAAAAGTATAAATTTACTGACATTTTAGCCACTTGTTTGGTGATAAGGTTGTGGTACTTTGGAAGCCTTAGTGCAGCTAGACTGCCTAATAGAATTAAAACTGCCCTTTATTTTCACTTCAGTGGTTGCTGTGTAATATTTGTGTTTGGGAAAAGGTTTAAAAGGCCTGGTTGCCTTTACTTTGCTTTTGCATTGAAAACACAATGACACTTTATATTTGTGCAAATAACTACACTTATAAATGGTTCATCTCTTCGTTAGGGTAAAATAGTTTAATTGCTTACTAACATGTTGCTATTTTAAGTGATTAAATACTCTTACTGAAAATAATACTGCTGTTTTGTGTAAATCATCATTTAAATTAACATTTTTGTTTTGGGGGTACTGGATATTGCAGTGGAATAACACTTCTGCCTTCACTTCTGACCTGTGAATCTTGTCTATCCTGACGAGATGAAAGTCTTTCTCTGCTGGTTGAAAGGGTCTTCCATGAATTGATTCTCTGCAATTTGGCCCAAATACCTATTTGGAGTACATTCATAGAACAGTACTTTTCATTGTTTGGAGATGCACTGTCATTTTATTTAGAAAAGGCATGTTCATTTAGAATCATGCAGTTAAGAGGTAGCCATCCGAGTATGGATTCAAGACACCGTTGGATAGAATGGAGGGAGCATTGCTCCATATTTGGCCACACTTCATGTAACCAGAGTTACACTGTATTGGCACTCTAGCAAAATATTATTTTGCTTGTGGACCATCACCTTTGCTGATGCCTGTGATTAGGTAATAATAAACTCTTCTGCTTTTAGAAGAAGCAGACACGTATTTCAATTGAGTCTATGTGCCTTACCAAGTAGTCAAATTGAGAAGTGACAAAAATCTATTTTACTGCAGTGAGGGCAATTAATATTCTAGTCAACCATGAGATTTGACATACACAGTCTGTTAAATATCTTTTGGACATGTCAGTTGTTTTAATATTTCTAAATCAATCTCGCACAGGGGATGTGCTTTTGAAAAATAATACTCCTGTGCATCTACTTTAATGATTTTGAATGTATACTTAGAAAGTGAATGCAAGAGTGATTAAACTGAATCAGTAAGGGCACATTCCCCTGCTGGAAATCATTGATAATCAACAAGGACACCTGTAGTTACGCTGAAGATACCAGTGGGCATTCTTAAAGCAATCACAAATGCAATGTGTTCCATTTTGAAAATTGAATATTTTAACATAATTAAACATAATCAAGTTTTATTTATGGTTTACTTATTTGGTGGTTCACATTCTAACCAACTGCTCGGAAGCTGCAATTACACTGAGGAAATGGATGAGTTGGTTGATGAGAAGAAACATGCAATGGGTGACTTTATCACATTAGCTCCATCGCCTCCATTAGCTTTTAACTATACATGTCCAACATAAGGCTGTATAATAAAATGAAATTGAACACTGAATTTGACAATGAATATTATTCAATAAACTGAACTATTCATATACCGGACTAAACATAAGACGAGACTCATCTGGAGCTCTAACTTCTATTCAATAAATTGAACTATTCAATTCTCCAACATTCAGTTAACTGAATTTCACGATCTGATTTCAGATCTGAAGCCACAAACTAGATTTTAGGCACTTACAAGCACTACATTATTTGTGAAAATATCCTTTTTGCACTCGGGGATGATCTGAATAGGAGGTAGAAATTCAATCGTGGCGGCAAAGAAATGTGACCACTGCACACCACCATATTAAAATTGTGGTAAAGTGATCATTTGAAACAAAACTTGGCATGCAGAACATGATTTTTCTTACCAACTTCTCCACCTTTTACACTCCTGAAGTTGACTCTTTGCTTCCACTGGATTGCGTTCCACAGGTGTAGGTTTCACTCTGGTACTTTGTTCAAGAAAGAATATTCATGTATTTATTTGAATGTTGGCAGGTGATTCAACCGCTAAGGGGCTTTATACCCGAGCCAAGCTTTCTCTTGTCCATACACATGACTAACTTCCCCTCCCTAACTGCTTTCATTTAAATAACATCATTTATGTAAAAGTCCTCTGCACTCCCTGGCAGCTGTATACAAAGGCACTGCAGTTCAGCCCATGTGGAGCAAGAAAATGCAAAAAGGAAAAATTAATCAAATGTTCCAAAAAGTGCCCAGCGTTTTACAATGAAAAAAGACTCCAAAACCAATACAGATAAGGTAACTGCTATTAAAAGATATCCAATGGAAAGCTTCAGAATTATATTCATTCCTGCAAATTCAATAAGTAGAAACTGCTCTAATGGAAAAACGCTGCACATTTCGTCATTTTGAAATGATAAAATCCACCTATTTGGTGGCAGTTTATTACTTGATATTACTATATTTATACTTGCGAATAATATTCATTTCCTGCCAATTCAGCATCCATTTAACTATAGGTTTCATGATTTAGAGTACTATATTGTGTAAATGGCAAATAAACCCAATCTGGTACGATTTTTTAAAAAAGAAAAGTTAGGTCAGCAACACTGCAATTACATTTTGTCACAATGTGTTTTCAAAATTCATTAATCTAATGAATACTTGGAAAATATTTTAACCTCTGCATTCAAATATTTATACGTATACTCCACTGTATCTTTATAATTATCATCATATCGTTTAGAGCACTAAATAGCATTAGAATAAGTAGCATTCAAGAAAAACTGGATAAATTCAACAAGACAAGGTGTTACAGATAGATTTTACTGTGGTTACATCATATTGGAGAAAATGCTAAGTATGTGTGTATGGTGAAGGAGTGTCCATTAAAAGGGTTGGAGAAGGAAACTTGCTTGGGTTGGATTATTGGTTGTTGACTAAACATTCCCTGACATGAAATATCTCTATCAACAAAACTAGAGGCGTTTAAAAAATAAGTTATTCTAATTTTGTATGCATCATTGGTGATGCCAGATTTGAAATACTATGCACAGTGGATCATAGAATCATAGAATTATACAGCACAGAAGGAGGCCATTCGGCCCATTGTATCTGTGCCGGCTCTTTGAAAAGAGCTATCCAAATCGGTCCCACTACTCCCCTGTTCTCTCCCCATAACCCTGCAAACTTGTCCTCCCCAAATATCTATCTACTTCTCTGTTGAAAGTTGTTATTTTGGGGGGGTGAAGTGTAGGTGCCGTATTAAATGAATGCAGCGATATATTGTTAAATTTAACAAGACAATAAGATTAGAGTAGTTAATTCCAGGGGAGGGGCAGATGAGGAGCAGAACAAAAATCATAGGCTGATTGGCCTGTATTTATAGAAAGTGCTCTTCATGCAGGGTGGAGTCTCAAGGCACTGAAAAATAAACCTTTCTAGCACCCTAATTAAATGTAAATGTGTTATATTAAATATGTTTTTTGTTTTATTCAGCAAAATAAATATTATGGAGGAACATGATCCAGGTTTTTTAAATGATGAGAAGCATGGATCAGATCATTTTAGTGCCTTAGCCAGTGTGTGCAGAACAATAGGCATAGGTTTAATAATAATAATAATAATCCTTGCATTTGATATAGCGCTTTTCACGTCGGGAGGACGTCCCAAAGCGCTTCACAGAACACACTGTAAAGTGAATTGACTATAGTTGTGGGCGAACGCGGCAGCCAATTACGCAGAGCAATGTCCCACAAACAGTCATGGATTGAAAATGACCAATTTATTATTGGTTTTTTTTGGAGGGATTATTATTAGGCTCTGTGGAGTAAGGAAACTTGCCCAAGGTTTCGCCCTCTGCCTGGAATTGAACTCAGGTCTCACTTGCAAAGCGAGTGCTCTAACCACTGAGCTACAGGACTCCACGTTAAAATTACAAGGCTTGAAGATATTCTGTGTCTTACCTCCCTTCTCCCCCCACAAAGTAATAATTATTTCATTAATTTTTATAGTCATTTGTGGAATAGACACCACCCTNAAAAAAAGGTTGGTACTGC